AAATATCTTCCATTGTCCAACCCATGATCTGACAGCTTGTATCTTAAGCTTTCTTGGCTTCTGTGATTCCAAACAGGTGGACTGCTGAAACTTTTTTTTCCTTTTGACCAGTGTCTCTTAAGTTTAGTTGTGCTGTCTCCAAGGGAAGGTGATGTGCCTAGGGTTGCACAATTTGATGGGTGGAGGGAGGGGTGGGTAAAGCAAAGGGGAAAGACCTGGTGTGAAAAACAACGTATACGAACTTTGTAAGTAAGTCCGTATGAAATAATATTTTTTTTAAAAAGTGCCCCTAAAGAAACCAGAACTGCCACCCACGCAGATATATGGACACCCATGTCCATGTTTCTTGCTGTATTGTTCACAATAGCAAAGAGATGGAAACAATCAAAGTACACAACAACAAACGAATGAATAGAGAAGATGTGGTATATTCACACAATGGAATACTAGGCAGTACTGAAAATCAAGGAACTAATGAAATATTATACAAAATGGTGACCCTGGAGGACATTATATTGAGTGAAATATCTCAGTCACAAAAGGACAGAGACTACATAATGACACTGTTATAAAACAGTACTGACATCAGGATTGGGGGAAAATGAAGAAAAGAGGGGATAAATAATGCACACTGCATTGAAACAGATGAGGACAATAACTGCTTAAAAGGAATATATGATTAGGTATTATTTGTACAATAGTCCAGAATAAGCTCTACATAATATAGTGAGCTGGGGTGGGGATGGGGTATTGTACAACAATGAAAGAATTATTTTTTCCAAAGAGAAAAGTCAACTGGGGAGGGGCAGGGAGGAAAATGTGCAACAATGAACGATTGGAAATCTAAGTTCTCTATAAACTTTCATTAAACTCTCAATAAAAAAACCAACAAAATAAAATATTTTTTAAAGTCCAACAACCTAATGGGAATGATTGTATGAAAGACAATGTAATTGAAGAACAGTGTGAAACCCAATGTATACGAACCTTGTAAGCAAACCAGTAGAAAAAGTAAAAATAAAATAAAATAAAAATTCGATTATTGTGAACAGGAGATTTTCTGCCTTAATTTTGAACTTTTGAAATATTGGGTTAAAATTGTTTACCTTTAATTATTAAATTTTGCCATTCTTCTAAATTTTACCCAGAAAAATTTCTTACTCATTTATCCCAGATCTAGTATTGCAGGGAGTTTGGTATTTTTTTAAAAAAAAAATTATTATACTACTTTATTTACAAAATAAGAATACATTGGGCGAAGTTTTCAGTATTTTCTTTTTTAAAAAAGAGGTACTTCTCCAGAAGAGTGCTTGCTACATAATTCTTCATTCTTAAAACAACAAAGAATATCTGTCTACAAAATCTTTTCAAGAATCAATAAATCTTTCCAGCCAGACAGTGCCAGGGAGAACATGTCCTGGGCCCACCTTTCCCTACTCTCAGAATACCTTCTCTTCAATTTTAGAGTGTGGTGGGTCTCTGGGACAGAGCAACAGGCAAGTGGGAGAGGGCCTGGGTGACATGATGCCTGGTGGGATGTGAAGAAAAGTGGGCTGGTGGGGCATGAGTGCGTGTGGGAGCCACAGGAGGAAACCACGAGGGCAGGAGACGGGAGACTGGGTTAGGGCCGGGACCATTGGAAGGGAAGCAGGAAGGGACCTTGGGGGCGAAAGCAGCGGGTGGGGCTCGGGGCTGGGGCAGTGGGCGGGGACCATGGGGGCGGAGGCAGCGTGAGGAGACGGTAGAACAGCAGAAGCAGAACCATGTGTGCTAGGGCCGCAGGAAGTGGGCGGGACGGGGAGTAGGTGGGGGGGGCAACGGGGAGCTCAGGAGGGACTGTGGGGGCTGGGTATGCAGGAGCGGGGCGAGACGGGAACCAAGGGGAGCGTGGGTACCGTACAGGCAGGGGCCCGCGGGAGAGGGGTTGGGACAGTGGAAGGGGGCGGTGCGGGCGGGACCGTGGGGGCGGGAGTTGCGGGTGCGGCGGGGGGAAGGGGGGGGGGGGGGCCGGGGGGGCGGGAGTTGCGAGTGCGGCGGGGACAGTGGGGCAGTGACCGCTGGAGGGGTACAGGAGGGGGACTGCAGGGAGTCTGGGGGGGCAGTGCGGGCGAGGGGGGCAGGCAGAAATTGGTGAGATTGGAGGGGTTGGCGGAAGTGGACGTGGTACGGAGTGCGTGGCCGGGGCGTGCCCACAGAGGGTGCGGCTTGGGGCGGGGCCGGCGCGCTCTGAGAGGAGCCGTCTGTACTCTTGTAGCCTGATGAAGAATTTGTTTTGTTTGTTGCCTGTAGAAGCATTGGGTGGCTGCTCCTCCAGCGGGTTTTCAAGGTAGTAAACTGTACCAGAGTAGATTGTCTCGCGCGTGGATCGTCTGGTGGATTCTAACTACCTGCTTTTTGTTGGCAGCAAAACTCTTTTTCACCACCAAATGCCCCCAAGACTTGCGTTGCAAGTCTGTTCTCCTCTCACTCCCCAGAGTAGAAGTCCTTTCTCGGCCCACTAAAAGCCGAGCCGGCGGATCCGGGCAGGGGCGGCCCTGGGCTTCGGCCTTTAACTCCGTAGCTGGCAGTCCGGCTCGCCATGGTGGACTTGCTGGGTGGCCGGCGCTTGCTGACCTGCGAGGGAGCCGCGGTGGAGGCGGACAGGACGCTGCAGAACAAGGTGGTGGCTCTCTACTTCGCCTCAGGCCGCTGCGCACAGAGCCGTGACTTCACTCCTCTGCTCTGTAACTTCTACTCGAAGCTGATGAAGCAGGCACGGACACCGGCGCCTTTCGTAGTGGTGGTGGTGTCTGCCGACGGCAGCGCAGAAGAGATGTGGGACTTCATGCGCGAGCTGCACGGCGCCTGGCTGGCGCTGCCGTTCGACGACCCGCTGCGGCGGTGGGTGCGGGCCAGGTGGCGGGGGTGAGCCTGTTGTGGGCCAGGCACGTGTGGATCCGGAGAGCGGTGGGGGCTGCAGTGAGAGCGGGCTGAGCGGTGGGGCCCGGCAAGGGTGCCAGTCCCGCCTTGACCCCCACTCGGTCTCATTTGACGCCTGGTCTTCAGTGAATTATTATTCAGAGTTCGTGTTTGAACTTAAAAGATTTAGGAGGGCCTATAAGGTTGTAGTAATACTAGGTGTACCCAGTTGTAGCTCGTCACAGTCCCAGCGTAATTGATAAATTTTATTTTATATTGATTTACATATAAAATTCATATACATTGTGCTTCATTCATGTAAATTGCGTTTCACACATTAATACTGTTTTTCATACAATCATTCTCTTACACTGTTTCAGAAAAAAAGTAATCACTACTGATCTATGTCCAATATCACCTGGTCTTTTAAGGTCCTCAGTAGATCTCCTAATTCCTTCCCTTACTTCCTCTGCCCAACAAACTCCCCATGATTCGCCCGCCCCATCCCCTTTCCCTTTTTTACTCTTATTCACATCTTACTAGTTGTCCTTTTGGGTTTTTTTGCCTTTTTTTTTTTTAAATTGTGTTTCACTAGTGCACATCATCCCCCTCCTGCCACCAAACTCTTGGACCTGGTGATTTTGTTCCCTTCCCACCCTCAACCCTCTGCCCCTTCACAGACAAAACATAATGTAACAATGCAGCAGACTTAGGCATTGATTACTTCTGGTTCCAAATCTGGATGTTGGCTCACCTCTGCCCCTGTGCCCTATGCCATTCTGTGGACAACTCCAGCAGACTTTCTCTGACCTTTGTTTTTGTTGTATACCATGAAATTAGAACCAACTCATAGTTTACCCTCCAATGGGTTTTCAGAGGAAGCACATTGCATGGGAGGAGATTGCCCATCTTTGTCCCATGGAGCACCTGGTGGACTCAAACTGTATACCTTTCTGTTGGCAACACAGCTATTTACTAGTAAGCCACTAGAGCCACTGTTGCTCAGGTCCTAGAGTTATTTTCAACTATAGTCTATCACTTCACCGTCTCCTTTCCATTTGTTACTAGGTTTATGGGTAAAATTTAGCTTCTTCCAAAAAATAAGTTCAACTTACAGATTTGCTAGTATTAATTTTGTGCCTTTCATGCATGACCCAGCCAATCACAATTTTGTAAATGAGCAGTTGCTTGTTTCACAATGTGCCTACTTTCCTCCTCAGGGAGAGCCTAAGGTGGACTTCTCCTCACCTCCCTTGTCTTGCTATTACCATGCTTCCCCAGGCCTTGCCAAGTGCTAGAGCTCCTAGACTTTGATGCTTACAGATTTGGATTTGATGGAAAAAAACAACTAGCTTGGCCTTTATATCTTGGGTAGAAAATGGTGCAATTAGAACCCCCGATTCCGTTGCAGTCAGTGCTTGTGCCAAGGATTCTTGAATCTGTCTTCTACCCTCTCTGTCTTTGAACTTGCATTCCTATGCCCTCTGGGACCCTGTTCCTTGTCTGTTTCCATGTATGTCTAAAGGACAGAAGAGAACTGCCCCTTAGGGTCTCCAAGGCACTGAATCTTTAAGGAAGCGTACTGCGCATGCATCTCCCATGCAGTGGCAGGTGGGTTTAAATCACCAGAAATTTTTTTAGCTGCTGAACATTTCAAACCTTGTGCCAACAGGACTCCTTGCTGTGGTTAGCAACCTTCAAGAAAACAAAGCAAAACAAAACACAAAACTAACTCTTGGTGGGCCTCCTTTTCTCTACCTGGAAAACCCTTTGTTATCCCACCTGCAGCACCTGTGTGGACACCAAAAGACACGGGAAGGAAGCATTTCTGGCCCAGCCCTTTTCATATCTAGTCCCTACTGATGTGGGTAGTAACCAGACATTGTTCATAGCTTGGCACCTATTGCAGGTAAACAAAAGACAATGCTTTGGAAATATTTGCCTGGTAACAGACTACCTAGGGACTATGATGGGAAAAGGTTGGAATCATAAGTAGTCATGACTACCCTGTTATGCCAGTGACAGAGAGGGAGCTACATTCCGTGATGGGAAGGAATTAGTTTTTCAGCACTATAAGTAACAAGGGCAAACTGGGGTCTTATATTTTCCCAAATGGTTAAAATGTTCTTGAGTTCATTCTGTTTAACAACATTCTAATATTAAAATTATTTTATGTTCTCACTGGACAGTTTATTGGCCCAGGTGGTAATGGGATGACCTCAGAGGAGGTGTTAGTTATTTGCCCCTTCTGTGGTTTCTTTATAACATTTCTTACAAAGACTTGGATGCCAGGCTAGGGATTTGAGTATTGAGTTCTCTAGAGAGTCAAACCAATGAAGCTTGTATGTAAACTCACACACACCATCTCTGTTGTGCTTAAATCCGTTGTTCCAGACACTCTGCAAATTTATCTCACTTAAGGTCTTTTGCTGACCCAGTTTTCCAAATATCATCTCCTTTTTCAAAGTCTAGCTCCTCCTGACAATAATATACCCAAAGTATATGAATTGAAGTCTCTCCATCTTTGCCTCAGGCGCACTGTCTGCAGCTCTTCAAAAACAGATGTGTTTATTCTTTTGGTATATTCAATATTCTTTCTAGCTACATTATACTGAGGATCATGGTCACATTTACACACAGTAAAAACAATAACAAATACACTGATGACTCTGGAAAGACAGCTATAAAAACTATTTCAAACCTCCTTTACTTACTGCAGCATGCTCCATATCCCTCTGATTTGATAGAACTTGATTTAATATTTCAAATGATTAAAACAACAGCAACTCAAAGGGGTATAAAACAGAAAATGTTACTGACTTAGCTGAAACATCCAGTGGTCAGGAGCTGGCCTTGATGGATGCTGGAGGCTTCTAAGAATGTGATCCATTAGCACAGTGACTGCCTGATAAATTCATGCTTCCTCATGGTGGCAGAATGACTACTGTATCTTGGACTGCACATCCTCATAACATTCCTCTTTTCCAGCACACAGGCCATAGCTTCACAGTGTTACTGTTCCTGAGTCATCAGCTGGGTACTCACTCCCATACTAGCCAGTGTCAACAAAGTGGAAATAGTAAGCTGGAATTTGAGAGCACCTAGCTTTCTAGGCTGACAGATCTGGATAGAATGGAAAAGACACCAGTCTCAGCTTTATTTTGTAGGTAGAGTTTATTTTTTGAACACAGTACTTCCTAAGTGCAAAGCACCTCGTCCTCAGCAAAATGGAACATGCACGAATCATTTAGTGTTACCAACACCAGAAATAACAATCCTACTATTTCCCAAGGTGCAAATGAGAGATCTAAGGTACACAGAGGTTAACTAGTTTGACAAGACTACACCAGACATTGAAGAAGGGTTGGTTGAAGGAGTGTCATAGGTACCAAGCCACAAACAATAGGCCTTTACAATCTATCTCACTGAGGGAAAAGAAGCTGCTGAGGACTCTGTCTTCAGTGTCTGCCTACCGTCTTCCTCTTTTTCCTTCTGCAATGTCACTGGAGGGACAGCAGGAAGCTCCAGAGAATTGTAGTAGGCAGGCTTAATGGCCTCATCCTTCAACCCCAATTTCTCATTCAAAATCAGTTGTGGGACACTGCATTTTTTTATATTGCTACTGGTCTGGAGACTCCAATTTGAGAACATTGTTCTAGACAGCTCTTGGAGGCTGGTCCAGAGAACTCCTCAGTGCAGGCTTTCAGGCCCCATTCAGATTTGCTAAATTGGAGACTAGAAGTGAGCTGTGGAGTTTGTTTGAACAGACCTCTATGTAATGTTCATGCCATCACCACCTGGAATGACAGAGCCTCACTTGATCTGGCCTGTTTTGGACTAGCTGCTTTCTGGAATATCTCTCATATTGCTGCCCAAAATAAAATCACTTGAAGTAACCAGTTTGTTAAATTTTCAGATGAAGAACTTAATTTAACCTCTTGTCTGTTTCACTGCAGATTCCCCTCTTCACAATTATAGAGTTTATTAGGGAAGTTAACAAGTTACCAATTCAAGCTGACAACAGTATACAGTTTCTCAGCTTCAGTTTCTGAAGGAGGTTCACAAGCCATTCAGGCCATTTAGTCTCCAGCCTTGTGCTTATAGTCCTGCCAATTTAGTTCTCCCACAAGTTTGGGGGAAGACCTCTGGCTCTGGGTTCTCAGGACAGTGTCCCAGGTGAGCTATGTCTCACATTCAGTCTCTGTTTCTTGTAGCTGCTGCTGTCTCCTGCTTACTGCAGATTTTGTGCATAATTGAGCTCTTCTTGTCATCGTATTTTTGTCTTTCAGATTATTAGTATCGTGTGGGATACAATAGAGAAGGATATTTCCTCCACTATTCTTTATTTGTGCTTATGTGAAACCTACAGTTGGACCAGGAAACAGTCCTCAGAACAGAGCAGGGAAATACTAAATGGTTCAAAATCAGGAAGGGAGTACGTCAGGGATGGATCCTGTCCCTCTGCATTTTCAGTCTATATGCAGAACAGATCGTTTGGGAGGCTGGGCTTTATGAGGAGAAATGTGCATCAGAATTGGAGGAAGACTCATCAACAACCTATGTTATGCATAGGACACAACCCTGCTTGTTGAAACTGAGGTGGACCTGAAGCTCTTGCTGGTAAAGGTCAAGGACTGTAGTCTTCAATATGGATTAAAGCTCAACATCAAGAAGAGAAAGATTCTCACCACTGGGCCACTTGGCAGCACCATGATGGATGGAGAAGAGATTGAGGTTGTTAACAGTTACACCTTGCTTGGCTCCACAATCAACACTCTTGGTATCAGCAGTCAGAAAATCAAAAGATGAATTGCATTAGGTAAATCTGCTGTCAGGGACTTTTTCAGAGTACTGAGAAACAACAATGTATTAGTCTAGAGATTAAGGTGAACCTGATCCAGGCCATGGTCTTCTTAATTACTTGCTGTGCATCAGAGAACTGGACAGTCACTAAGGATGATGGACGAAGAATTTATGCCATTGAGTTAATGGTGCTGGAGAAGAGTCTTGAGCATACCATGAACCACCATGAAAATAAATAGGTCTGTCTTGGAGAGGGTCTTGGAGGCGAGAAATTTAAAGTTCTGTGTCTTATATTTTGGGCATGTGGCCAGGAGAAATGGATCCTTAGAGATAAACATCATGCTTGGAAAGGTGGAGGGACAGAGCAGAAGCAGAAAACTCCAGATGAGATGGATTGATAGAGTAACTTGGGCAATTGGGGTATTTGTATTGGAGTCAGTGAGACTGGCTTAGGACAGGGCAGGCTTCAAAGTTGTTCTATAGAGGGTTGCTGTGAGCTGTAGGAGACTCGATGGCACATAAGAACAACAACATTATTATTTCTGAAAACTTTTTATTGTGATTTGAGTGAAAGGTTACAGAGAAAAATTGGTTTTCCATTAAGCAGTTCATACACATGTTTCCCAATATTGATTATAACCTCCACATTATAACAGTAGCCTTCCCACTGCCTAGTTGTGTTTCTCAATTCCATTGATGAGTCTTGTGAAGTTTATTGTGGGAAAATGCTGCCCTTTTGTATTGGTAATTTTTCTGAGGCATGAACGTCTTCCTGGTGTTATTGATCAATAACTCTTATTTGACTGGAGTTACAGGGATGATTTTAATTCCAGGTTTGAAGAGCAACTAAAGGCCGTAGTCTTAGGGATTCCACCAGCAAACAGAGTTGCTGTTGTCAACTGTTTATAAATTTTTGAAGACAATGCTTACTTTTTATTGAGTGTAGTGTCCTCTTTACCTTGTTCCTGCTTGAGTTAAACTTTTGCTTTTGGTCTAGATTCCAGAAATCAGTGGAAAGATCTTGACGAAGGTTATCTCCACAAGGAGATTTTGGTAATAGAAGTGTCTTAAATGCCTATTCATTCATTTAGGTTTACCTTCCAGAAACAAGAAGATAAAGGAAATCAGATAACTAGTCATGTGTAGCCTGTACAGTCTAGCTATGGGAAAGGATTTTTCGTTTAGCTATCTTTACCTTGAAGGCAGTAATCCCTTTGAAGGTTACAGGGAGAGTTGTACAGGGAAGAAGGCAAGTTATCCTTTCTCTGAATGAATAAAAGTAATTTTGTAAAAAGGTCTCACTCATAGGGTAACAGGAACAGTAAATGTAACTATTAATGCTTTATCCATAATATGGATAAAATCAGAACATCAGTGAATTTGTAGAGTAGAAAGTTTAATAAGGCTTTGGGCTTATTTAGAACTCAGGGGATGCTTATATGTGCCTGGATTATTTTAAACTACTGAAATGTAGTAAAGGATATATATTACAGTGTTCATATATGGGCTTAGAATTACACTGACCAATGTGGTAGTCATTAGCTATAGATGGCTACTTAAATTAGTATTAATTTTTCCAAAAAATGAAAAGCATGATTCCTGAGTCCCACTAGTCACACTTCAAGTACTCATGGCTGTGGCTGCTAAATTGACAAGCACAGATGTAGAATATTCCCATCATTTTGTGGGTTTTTAAAAAAAAAATTACTTCTCTTTAAATACATTTTATTTTGTAACATTGTAACTGCAATTTCATTTGATCACTCATATACATTTTAAAAAAAATACTGGGTTATTTACAAAGGTCAAATACATTGTTTTTCACACCAGATCTTTTCCATTTCCTTCATCTCACCCCCCACCCATCAAATTGTATGATCCTATGATTAACTCCCTTCTCCCTGCCCATCCTCACTCCCCTGCTTTCACCCTACCCCCCAGGATCCTCATACTCATTCTACCATAATGGTTTTATACAGTATTTCTCTTTACGAGATTGAGTTAGTTTACTTGCATAATGCCCTCCAGTCCCTCAAAAGTTAGATAGTAATTTATGAAGTCATTGCTTCTACTTGCTGCATAGTATTCCACTGTGTGAATGTACCATAATTTCTCAAACCATGCACTTGTGGTTGGACATGTGGGCAGTTTCCATGTTCTTGCAGTGGTGCACTGTTTTTTTAAGATAGACCTGTCTTAGAAACTGTGAAGCAGCAAGAAGCTAAGAAATTCAAAAGGAACCCACTAAGAAATTAGTGAGTACAAATTAGGTGGTACAAATGGTAAACATAGTTGACTGCTAACAAGAAGGCTGAGAGTGTGCCCATAACTGCCTCTGAAGAAGGATCTGGTGATATATTTCTGAAAAATTAACCACTAACAACAATAAATTTCTCTTACACATGGGGTTGCCACAAGCTTAAATCAACTGAGGAGGGAGAGCTGGCCCAGGTTATCCTATAAAGCTGGCGGATGGTAGTGTCACGATAAGCAAGGAGCCCTCCCATGGGGTGGTGTGTGTGTGGTTGGCTAGCAGGCTGATAAGTACTGACTCTTTGGTTTGTTCTTTCTCTTCCTCAGTGAACTGAACAAGATGTACAATATCACAGTCACCCCCAAACTCGTGATTCTGAAGCAAAATGGAGATGTTATCACTGACAAAGGACGGAAACAGATCCAGGAACATGGACTCTCCTGCTTCCGCAGCTGGATGGAGGCAGCTGACATTTTTCAGAATTTCTCTGGTTGAATTTGTTAGAATTTCAGAGGACTAAAGACTACATGATCACATTGCCTTCTACCAACAAATACCCATGGGGAATTAGAAGATGTGCTTGGTTTCATTTATTTCTCTGTTGGTGTTATTTTATTGAAGAATCTAAAAATTTAACTGTGGCAGAAAGGAAATTATTCTCAGTAAAAACAACTTTGCTCATGCAGCATATTTTTCTTACTGTAGAATTTTGCAAATGAGTGAAAGGATATTTATCTTTTCACAGTGAACTGTTGAAAATCTATGCAGAACACTTACTTGTACAGGTCTCTTTAGTAAAATAATATATGTGTTTTTCTGAAAACTTATTAGAACTTTCACAACTATATTTATTAATAAAATTTATCAGAACTTTCACAGCTGTATTTATTAATATAATTTACAGACTTTAGCTTTAATAACCAAACCCATTTCTGCCTTATACAACTGTGATTTCTTTCTTTTTTCTGTTTAAACAAAGTGTCACAACCTCTGGGGTCTCAATGTGTGGGGCCATGGCTTCTAGGGTTTCTAAGGATGTGAGATTCAGAATAGAAGTTGGACATGGAGTTGATTTAGGTCTTTTGTGATGATAGGATGTGGTGAAAATGTTTTGCATGTGGCGAGGACATTAATTTGGGGAAGTCAAGGAGTGGAATGCCGTGTATTGAATTATGTCCCCCAGAAATACATATCTACTGATGTAGTTTGGAAGCTATCATAATCTGTGTAAAAAGAGCAAGGGCTATGAGACTAAGGTCCAAGGAAGAAGCGGGAAAACAGAAATAGAGCCAGCAATAACTGCTGCTGCCTTGGGAAAACTGCCCCTCCCTCCCAGTTCCATAGTGCTGTGCTTGGACTTAGGGGTACCACAACATTGGATAAGCAGTGACTCCCATGACCTTACAGAACACTTGTGATCACCATGTAAGAAAAGTGCCTTCTCCCCACCAATCAGAGGAGGCCACTAGTCAGAATGGCAAAAAAGATTAGAGTGAAGACCCATAAATATTCCAACTCTGCCCCTACACCAAAGTGCCTTCTCTCAGTGACTCTTAAGACAATGTACCATGCTTAACTGTTGGTATTTCTTTTTCTTTAACTAATAAACTTGGTACTATTCACTTCTATAAATGGTACTCTTCTCCAGAGAGAACTTTCTAGCCCTTTCTGATGCATTAGATCCTGGGCATCTTCTACACTGGTACTAGAACCTAACATCTTGGTGCATTGACTGGAACTGAAATTAAGTCTTGATTTTCTTGCTACTGTTGAGTGAAAGTGCCTGCTGATTGAAGTGAGTGCAAAAAGGAGATTTGTCAGTGGTCAAAAGCTGATTAAAATGAGTTTTTTTTTCCCTATGAATTCTGAAGAGTGTGCATTTCAAAGATTAAGGCTGTATTTACTCCTTCCATTGACAATTAGAGATTAAATATGCATGGGCTGCACAGAATGACCCACACATTAGGAACAGAATGACATGAGGCCACTTCCCCATGATCTGAAGATAGTTTATTTCAGTCCAGGAGTCACATAGCTTGGTCGGCAGCAATCTGCGCCCTCCCAGAGGGTGAACTCCCAGAGGTTGAACTCTAATGGGAGAACAGCTATCCTGTGCAGCCTCTCATTTTTTTTTGTTTTTGCTTTTTGTTCTGTAACCTGTCTTTAATACATTTATTAACAGGAGAGAATGATTTTCATCATTCTCTTTTTCATTTCATTTATAAAAGAAATATTTATTGCTTATTCCAAAAACAGACGTAGAGATGTGTTACTTTTTTTCTTTTCAAAGCTTTATTAATAATTTTAAAAATAATTTTAATGAACATTTACAGAGAATTTGGATTTCCATTCATTCATTGCTGCACTTCTCTACCCACCCAGCCCTCTCACCCCGCCCCCCAGTTCGCTCCTCTCTTTCAAAAGTAAAAGAAAGACTCCCTCCCTGGTACACAATCCCCCTCCCCCGCACCCCTCCCACCGCCCCAAGTACATTCCACTATGCAACCTTAATTGTGAACTCTTGCGATAACCATAATACCCTATCATACATCGCTTTTAAATTATTCAGTCCCTCATCTGTTTCAGTGGAGTATACACAATTTATCCAGTTTTTCAGACCCAGCACACTGGTTCCTGTAGTTGAGAACGGCCACCAACACTTCCCTTCTTATTTCTCTGTTTTCCCTCATTCCCATCCAACTAACTGCCTTAACATACATAGCCTGTAGGCATGTGCTTAGGAACTCCCTTTTCCTTCTCTGTGTACACAGCTTTCTAATGAGTCTCTGCCTTTCACACCTAAGGGAAATTGGTTTTGGACTTTTTACTAAGAATCTGACTTTTTAGAAGCGAAGACCTTATAGAAAAAGATTATGCCTTTTTCCAGTATTAATTTCTCTATAAACATTCAGGGAAATGAGAATTTCCAGGTCTACATTTTCTAATTCTGATTCTAAAATCACCAAAGTTTGGGTCTTTACCGTTTCTTTGTCTCCACCACTGCTTTAAAGGTCTCTGTGTGGCATGGAGGTGGCAGAATGGTTAAAATAAAATCAGTAACCATTGCAGTAACCAAAAGTTAAGAAAGCACTTTATTCTGGCATGCTGTATGGAAGAAGGAGAAGCAATGAGTAAAGAGTACAGGAAGTGGTACAGCTCATCCTGGCACTTGGGAAGGCTGCTTCTTTCAGAGGAATTTATATGGGTTACAGTCTGTTTAGACCAAGGTGCTAAGATAGGAGGTTCTCATGCATTTTACTTCCTGGTTTCTTAGTGGAAGAAATTATTTTGATATGGATGAATATTCACAAGGGAAATGGGGGACAGGTGTTTCTGCGAGGAAGTAGATAAAATATTGTGGCCCAAGTTAGTAAGGAATCAAGATATGAATAAACAGACTTCACACTTGTATCTTTTTTTTTTCTTTTGGAGGGACAATTCCTTTCTTTTTAGGTACTTTCCAGTTGAGGAAGACTCATAGTGACCCTAAGAACAACAGATCTGTACCCTGACCTCTCTCTCTTATGCCATCCTTACAATCTCTGACACACTGGAGCCCATTACTGCAGTCACTGTGTCAACCTACCTGGTTGAGGATCTTCCACTCCTTCTGAGGCAGGCCCAAAAGCCAAGCAAAAACAGAAAACCAATTAAGTAGGCTCAATCACAAGAGCCTGTGAGTTACCTACTTTTAACCCCATAAAGGGCCTAAAGTTAGCCTACGGCCTCTTGCCCAGAGTACTTAATTTACCAATCATAATGTATCCAGGCTGTGGTCTTTGCAATCATTTGCTATGCATCAGAGAGCTGGGTCATGATTAAGGATGATAGAAGAAGAATTGTTGCTTTTGAGTTATGGTGCTGGAGAAGAGTTTTGAACATACCAGAGGCCACCAGGAAAACAAATAGATCTGTCTAGGAGAAGGTATAAAACAAAGTTTCTCCTTGGAGGCTAGGATTTTGAAGTACTGTTTCACCTACTTTGGGCATGCAGCCAGGAGGGACTGATCCTTGGAGAAGGACATTGTGCTTGGAAAGGTGGAGGGACAGAACAGGAGACAGAGACCTCGGATAAGATGGATTGATATAGTAACCAGGGCAATGAGGGTAGGTGTTTCAGAATCAGTGAGACTGGTTCAGGGCTCAGCAGGCTTCAGAGCTGTTGTGCATAGGGTCACTGTGCGTTGCAGATGATTTGGCAACATGTAACAACAACAACAACAATGTATATAAAATTAGCCAATTGGAAGGAAACCTCAACCTATACCTTGTAAGCCTGTATAAAGAGAACACACTTTGTCTTTGGGGGAGCCTTAACATTGAGAGGCTGTGATTTCTGTCAGAGCTCCATTCCTTGATTCACAAGAGAACCTGCGGCTTGTTCCTTGGCCTGGAGTTGCTGCACAAGAAGTCGAATTTCTGCAACATTTTGAGATGTCAATATTATACATGCATAATAAAGGAACCTTCAAGATGAGTGTGGTGGAATTCAAGGTCTGCAGGACGAAGCTTCTGACAAAAGAATTTTTAAATTGGCATGACATTTTTTCCCCCTATGGAAGCCATTTTTTTAATTAATTTCAATGAACATTTACAGAGATTTTGGATTTCGATTCATTCATTGTTGCACTTTTCTCCCCGCCCACCCC